TATATAACTGTATGTGCTTATAGGCATTTATTATTAGCAAAAACGACAGAAGCGGCAATGGTAAGGAGAAAGGTAAAAACAGTAACAGTGATATAATAACAACGCGACAAAGCATTGAACTAAAAATGAATAATTTAGCAGTAACTAATTGAGTTGCTGAGGGCTGGTTTAGACTTATGGAACTACAGTTTCCCAAAATGATTACAGTTTTTGTGTTTTCTTCTTTTCTTGTCTGTTTTCCATTACTTGATAAAGGTTTGAATAATTGGAAAGGAAGAAGAATAATAGTGAGGCTCTGAAAGGCTAAAAAAAGTGAGGTCAGTGATACAAAATAAGCAGGCTTTCGAAAAAAGAGAAAAAGTCCAATTTATCAGTAGATAATATCAGCGCTTTTGGTTTACTTCTTACCTGTCTGAGGTACTTTACATTTGGAAATGGTAAAGTGCTATCTGAAATTGTTAGCAATTATAAGAGAGGTAAATTAAATAAGCAAGAAAAAAAATTGAACATTGACAGCAATCGAAAAGCACCTGACCAGTTTATTTAAAGTGATTTTCTGTTTGTCGGTTTGTCGAATATATTGAAGGGAACAGGTTGTGGAATGGTTAAAATGACTCATTTCAGTTATCAGTAAATATCTGTTCTGCAACGATCGCCGATTATTCTCTCAAAAGTAAAGTTTCAAAGAGAATGGAACCAAATATTTCTGGCAGAACCGCGTTCCCCAGATTTGATAACAGCGACAACACGTTAGTGATTAATGGCTTCTTGCATTCAGGTTAACAGCCAGATACGCTATAACCGCAACAGTTCTGAACTTCTCCCGTGCCTTCCATCTCACAGAATCAGTCATTAGTGAAGAGTTCCAGTCCGTCATTTCCCTGCTTCCCTCAGCACGGTTTATGACAGCCATACAGCGGTAGTGCCAACATTGACTTTCTATTACTGATTTGTAAGAACAGGTTGTAAAGTTTTGTCACAAAGTAAGAGGTAGCTGAACTGATTGAAGCTGACAGGTTATAAACATTTGGCCACCACTGACATTATATTTTGCGTAAACATATCAACAGATTTGATTATCAAAAGAATTTTCTTTTCTTTTCTTCTCCACTTCGTTCTGTTTTGATTGCAATAAATGAGAGATGATTCAGAAGGTTTGATCACGCTGTCCTTTAGTGACTCTCTTTTCATGTTTTTATTCTGCTAGATGCAATCGGTGGTAAATCTAATGATGATTCGTGACAAATGCAAAATACTTTTTTTGATTTTTTTTCTTAACGGATCAATTTTAGCAGATACCCATTTACAAAATAACTCAAGCACCTTCTCATAATTTGTACTGAAAACTTGCCTAAATTGGAAAACATTTTTTTTTTTTTTTGATAATATTTATCAGAATTTCTTTTACATTGCAAAGAATCGTAATGTCGTGTTTGGCAGATGTTTGTTCATCTCTTTAAATTTAACAGTTGAACACAAAGAATGTGATTTTTTAAGTGTAAATTTATAATTTATTTCAGCACAGTTAAATGTTACTAGTTAATTAGTTGAAGTTAAAACACAATACTTATGCCAATTTTTAACCGTTCAATTACAAACGCCGTTCTACCAACAACCACAAAAAGACTGTTATCCGAATGGCAGCACGAAACAGTTTTGAAAGTGAAGCTCTACCAAGCCTGAACTAGAAGAGTTCATAATACCCATCATTTTTCATGGCACAATAAGCAAAAAAATCAATGAATTTTGAATATGTCACAGATACCTTTCAGGTGCGGTCGATGGTAATGTAAATCAATAAAATGCTTTTAGTGAAATATCAACATCGTTTTTGGAAGCCATATCTGTCGATGCTCATCCGGTGTGTTCTCATTCACAAAGTACTGCTTCCTTGAGAAGATTATGGCTGCTGGTACGCCGGAAATTGTTTAGCTGTAGATGAATTTAACTTTTGGTTGCGGCTTTTTGACAAATGGGACGGCCGGGTAAGGAACAATACAGCACAGTTGAATGTTACTAGTTAATTAGTTGAAGTTAGAACACAATACTTATGCAAATTTTTTTACCGTTCAATTACAAACGCCGTTCTATCAACAACCAAAAAAAGACTGTTATCCGAATGGCAGCACGAAACTGTTTGGAAAGTAAAGCTCTACCAAGCCTGAACTAAGACGTAAAGTCTCTTTCTACCAAGCCTGAACTAAGACGTAAAGTCTCTCTCTACCAAGCCTGAACTAGGACATTTGAACGTAAAACGATTTCAAGTCATTAAATAACAGAAAATGAAAATTTTTTGGCTGTTTTTTTTTTTTTTCAAAAAGATTTTTAGTGAGAAGTTGAGAGGCGCTTTTTTCTTAGTTCCTGTTAAAGAACTTTTGTTGTCAAAAAAAGCAACTTTTTTCTTGTGATTTCCAAACCTTAAAACAGCAGTATAAAACAGCAAAATTCTTTAATGCACAACTATAGCAATCTCACATGTGAAAAATTAAGTGAAATGAAAATTTTCATGACTATTTTATTATTCGTTAATATAATGTAACACGTTTTCGCAGCTTAAACGTTACTTCAGTGATCTCGTCCCTACGGCACAGTTAAATGCAAAGAACAAACACATAAATTATCACTTCTAATTGTTCGTTTTTTCTTAAGTTCACATATGCCACACTGTCAGAGTTTTTAGATCCGTTGATCCTAATTCAATGAGCGAATGAATTATTGAATAAATGAATAAATGAGCAAAAATAAACAGATTGTTGATTATTATTCTATTATATGCGGCAACACTGCTGATCCAGTCAAGTCATTCTTTTGCAAACAGGTCCACTTTAGCATAACTTCAAGACTATAACTATTGTTTTTCCTATTTTTCTATTTTCTTATCGCTAAAAAATAAAAAAAAAAAAAAACGTGGAAACCGAAAAACTGAAGGAACACAGACTATGAAAGAGATGAATCGGCAGCAAAAAAAATAAAATAGAGCATACAAAGAGCATTAGCAAATGCTGCGTAACCAATCGAATCTGTTCAAAAACATTTGAAGGACTAGTCACCTGAAACAAAAGCCCCTCTAGATGGTTAATTAAACGTTTACAAAACTTGGCCTGATCAATTATCAGTAGTATCCTTTCTGGAGTAATGAGAGAGAGAGTAGGAGGTGCAAAAAAAAAAACGAGGAGTGACTTATAAGCCCAAGTAGCAAAAAGATTAGAGGGAGAAACAAATCCTTGTTGCTCACGGTTCAAATTAATCCGTAAACGTTCCTTTTGAAGCTTTGCTATATGAGACATTACTGTACAGATCTTCCAGAACTCCTTTGCATGTAAAGGCTAAAACAATAAAATCTGCTTCAATTTACTCCTATAACTACTCAACTCCTGGTAGAAAAATTTTCATTTTTCATTATGAAGTTGGCCAAATCGAGGAAGGAAAAAAAAAAAAGAAAAAACTGATTGCCATGAATCAAAGCCAAAGCATTTTAAACAACGGTTTTACAGATTTGAGTGAGGCGTGTTTTCCCATCGCTCGAAACCTTTTGAAGAAAGTACTGTGAACTGCAGTGCAGTAAGTAAAACAACTTTTTACTTTTTTCATACGTACACTTTTAAATGTTTTTTTCCACAAGCAATAGTAACAGAGCACTGCAGAGTTACTCCAGCTCCTTCTTAACTCAGTTTTTTTTTAATTCGTCATGCTCTATCGCCACATTTCGTGCACATATGTTTAGCACTAACATCCACAGATAAAATAGGTTACAGTAATCAATGTTCAATCCTAAGTAAACTGAACAGGTGAGCAACTTGATAGGCCTAAAAAACTGTATACAAACAAAATTTGTGATGAGTATGGATACCAATAAAATAAAAAGTAAAATAGAAAAAGAAGGTAAAGAAGAAGAAGACGACAACGACGACTACGACTATGAACAGAGCAATGAAGAAATTCAACTATATTAAAAGTACAGATACAAATATGTACAGTAAAAATCCATCCCGAAAAACACAAATTTGGTTTCAAAAAAAAGCATAAGATCTTAAGAACTGATGAAAAGCTCGCAGAATGCAAGAAAGAAGAAGGAAACGTAGAAGCAGACAAAGAGAAAAAACTTTGCTTAACAAAAAAAGAACATTGTGAAGTCGTTCAGTTTGGCGAATACACAGTTTCTTCTCTTCTTCTTACCACTCTGCCTTTCTTCTTCTCCCTTTTTCTGTCTTTTCAAAAAGAAGGTTTTTCCCCAGTAACTGTTCGTATTAACTTCACAAACACTCAGTTCTCAAAAATCGCTACAAGTCTTATGATTCTTTTACCATCTCTCTGATTTGCCCTCAAAAATTGTGCCGTTGCCTCTGCAGCCGCTGTCACTACTATGTTGATCTTTCTGGTCTTCCTGTTGTTATTGCTTACGTTCAGGAACAAAAAAAAAGGAAAGACTAATAGCTAACAAATGAAAAGCAATTTCTGCTGTTGTTTTTGTTGTCCGAAACATCCTGAATTACTGATTGTTGCAAATAAGCAGCACTGAAATGACGAATTTCAATACTGCACT